GATCACCGAAAATGCGAGTCCCAGGAAGCAGGTAAGAAGTAAGTGCAACCGCGGTTTCGGCATGTGTTCTCGGTCGCCGCCATTCTCCTTGACCATGGTGCCATTTTGTGGCCTTTGTCTCTTCTCGAGTAGGTCTGAAAAGTCAGTTAGGATGCGAACAAACATGTGTGACTGTTGAGTAAGCAGTTAGTTGATGTTCAGGCTTCTTTCGTTTGTTTTGATGTGTGGTCGTAACCTCAGGGACGCAGGTCGCCGTCTCGGGATCGAGCTCCTGAACGGAAAATGTAAGTCTACCAAGTCAGTTTGACCGTCGTAAAGGACAGCTGCTAGCGTATGCTTCGCATATCCCAGACACAGAACAGCGAACTGAGTGTTAATTAGATTCTAGTGAAGGCAGCTTGCAGAGCATCCATCGTACTCTTCTCCTGGTGGCAAGACAGAGCCAGGACCGCCGGCGGCGGCGGCGGCAGGATAAACCGTGCCACGCTGCCGCCAAAGCATTACATCCATTGTCCCTACCACCAACACTGCGACTTACTTCCAATCTCTCCCCGCTGCAACCACACTGTCTCATCATGCATAGACTTGGTTGGTAGCTTGCGAGTCCATCATGTCGAAGCCCCGGCCGCCTTTACTTACTTGTACTTGTACTTGATACGGCTGCGATCATGCCTGATCTAGCCGGCCTCGATGATGTCCCGAATTGTACCTCTCCACGCGTGACGATCCGCGGCAGCAGATCTAGACAGCTCAACCCATTCCCTTCGCCAACGACGGAGACCGAATACCGAAGGTCCAAGAACCACCTCCATGTCTTGACGGACAGTGTCGAGCCAGGTTTTGAACTGGCCCCATCTTCGACGCCTCCAATGGGGCAACGGTGCCGGATCGAGGGCAGTAACACTGAGCTCCTGAGGTGGACGACGAAGAACATGCCCGAACCACCTCAGTCGTCTTTCTTGGATGGCCTGAGTTATCCTCGCGATGTTGTCGCAGCGAGCGCGGACTATCTCATTTGAGACGAAGTCGGTTAACTTCACTCGAAGGATGATCCTCAAGCAGTGGTGGTCAAATACCTCCAGTTTTCGCTCATCCGCCACGCGCAAAGCCCAGCATTCACAACCGTAGAGAAGGACAGACCGGACAGATGCACGGTACACGCGAATCTTAGTGGCGATGGAGAGGTCACGCCGGTTCCACAGGCATTTCCGAAGGCTTGAAAAAACCCAGCGGGCAGCATCGATTCGGGAGACAATGTCGTCCTTACTCTGTCCATTAGGCAGCAGCCTCGCCCCGAGGTATTTAAACCTGTCCACTTCTTCAAGTTGACAGCCATCAATCCCCAGGGGTGCCTTCTCCTGGTCAGGGATGCAACTTGAGAATACTTTGGTCTTCCCAGCGTTTATGGACAAACCGACTGATTTAGTGACCTCGTTCACTCGTGACACCATAGACTGTAGATCACCAAAATGTGAAGCAAGTAAGGCGATATAATCGGCATAGTCGAGATCAGTCAGTCGATGTCCGGGTGCAAATTCAACGCCGTCACTGTCGCGTAGGGCCATCCCGAGGATCCAGTCAATTGCGTAGTTGAACAGTATGGGTGACAGGATACAACCCTGTCGGACGCCAGACCGAATACCGAACGGTTGGGAAAAATTGTTACGGACCAGGACTCTCGCAGTAGTGGAACGATAGTAGGCCTTGATCATGGCGATGATTTTTGCCGGTACACCATCTAGCGCCATTATCCGCCACAGGGACTCACGATGAACGGAATCGAACGCGGCGGCAAAGTCAACGAAGCAGACGGCCGTCGGTTGTTGGTAGCTATGGCGAAATTCGAGAATGCGCCTCAGTGTGAATATCTGATCTGCGCATCCACGTCCAGTACGAAATCCGGCTTGGTTGGGCCTCGTCCTTGAGTCACGCACAGCCTGGAATCGTCTGAGTAGGACAATAGCGAAGATCTTCGCAGCAACGTCGATGAGACTTATGCCGCGGTAGTTCTCGCATCTCGTCTTATCTCCCTTCTTGAGGATAGGTACAAGGATGCCTAAGCCCCAGTCATCAGGAACAACCTCGTCTCTCCACGCTCGTTCAATCACCTCATGGAGCCAGGGCGCTAGAGTGTCGACACAAGACTTAAAGATTTCAGCGCGTATACCGTCCTCTCCGGGTGCCTTATTGTTGCGCAACTTTCGTATGGCATCGGCGACTTCTTCCTCGCAGGAGGGATCGCATGGCACTGCATAGGTAGGAGAGGGGCCGCCTTTAGCCCCGACATGTACCCGTCATACACGCCCCAATTTTCCACAATGGCCCTCGACCTTCAGACGCCTCATAGGTCAATCGATCACAGGCGTATCCATAACAGCGGGGGTCGCCGCGTCAGTGATTGTTGCCTTAGTTGACTGTTTGCCGTATCTCCTCCACTGGTGTCTGGATAATCACACTATGCCAAAATACTTCTCCGACACACACACATCTGGTCAGGTCGGAATTGGTGGTTGAGATTGTGGGTTGTCAAAAATGGTAAGATCTGGTCATATAACCCCACCTGATGGACACAATACTGTTGGGGTTAGGGGTTAGGGCAACTATTTCTCAACCACCCTAGGTACAACCGCGTATTCCCAATAGCTTTTCTTTTGCAAACAACTATTTGACCTCGCCTCCTGTGCGTTCCCTGCCCCCGACTGTAAAAACCCTTATTACCACCGGTCCCGTACTACAGGTGGCTGGAGTTTGTTTACTTCAGCTGAAGCTACTAACCACACCTGGCCGTAAAAAACACATTAATGAAAAGCCTGAAGGTCATCTAGCCGTCTAGTCAACGATCGTATCTTTTTTTCGAAAAGAAGCGGTCATCATGTGGACCACCGGGGTCACTAATGATCGCCCAAGATGGAGAAACTGGGAGTCCGATCAGCACCCACAACTAATGCTGCCCATCCACACGTCAGGTGCAGTATGCATGCAACCCACGCGCCACGTAATGAGAGCCGTTTGATGCGTCGTAATATAACTGTGCCCCTAGTGTACTCCTCTCCTTCTTTTGATATGCTTCTCGTGCACAGTACCGTCACTGCCTAGTGCCCTGCTATCGCCAGTTCCCGTAGATTCCCTGCGAGATATATGCGGAGTACACGCAGCATCTCCGGCGCTGGTGTGCATAGGAAATGCAAGACTGACGGCCGTTATCGGTAGGTGGCGTCGGCCAGATGGATCAGTTCTCTGCGGGGGGAAGCTGCCATTGTGAGTTGAGTGACGTCGCAGTCTCCAAAAGACCTACTGCCTCCGTCTGTCCGTCCGTCTCGCGTGTTTTTTCGGAGACGCGACTTGGCACAGTATGCTATCTGCGCACTTTTGGTTCCCTGCAAACTGCCGCCCAGCATCCCCTCCTTCCCTACCGCGCGTTCTCACCGTCCGTCCCGACAGTTAAAAGGTTTGGCGGGCCACTGCATGTCGTAGCGGTCTTATTGGATGTCTGGAGAAGCAGAGGATTGAGTGTGAATGGGAGGGGATGGGCGGGAAAGGGAAGGGACTGGTAGACGTGGGAGAAGCGGGTTGTGCAGGCTGGGGTGAGAGAGAGGTCCGAGTGAGTGCAGAGGGGGTAGAGAGGAGAGGTAGAGAGAGAGAGAGAGTTGACTGGGGAAACAAAGCAGCGTGGAAGGTGCTGAAGGGGGGGGGAGAAGAGAGAACAAGACGGGAAGGCGACTTGACAGAGCGGCAGCGATGTAGGGCAGGGGGGAGTACTGTAAGGTGGAAGCAGGAAGAGGTGATAAGCGGAGAAGAAGGAGGTGGAGGAAAGAAATCGGAGAGCTGAATGAATGGAAGTGGTAAAATAGGTACAGTATGTGTGGACGCGTGCGTCCGTCGAGCCTCGCATGAAACAACGACCTTCAGACTTTTGAGTACTAATCACTGTGGATGAGATGGAAACTACGAGGCACGTAGTATTTAATGACACAGGAGCAGGACACAGAAATACAACTCGCCCCCCCCGCCCATCCTGAGAATCTTGCACTGGTTTCCAGGGAGATTGGGTTCAGGGCTAAGGTTAGTTTTAGGGCTTGGCTTGTGATTACAATCAATTCTCGGCCTGTTTTGTTTCCGGCGTGGGCGACTATTTTGGTGCCTGCGAAGTTAAACTCGTGACCCATTTCGTAGATGTGGGCGGCCACTTGTGATAATACGTCGCCTCGTCGCACAGCCAGCTTATGTTCGTGTATGTGCGATCCGAGCATACGCCCAGTCTTTCCTCTGTAGTCACAAGGACAATTTTGACACGTAATGCGATACACTACTCCAGATTGCTTTTCAGGGTGTTATTCTATTCACAGAGAATATGCTTGATCGTTTTGGTATCATCAGCAGGCTGTATGCTTCGCTTATATATTCCAACCGCAATCTGCGACTAACTTGCATGAGCTCGAGGAGTTGCTCTTCGTTGAAGGCACGGTGATGCATATTTTTCAGATTTTGTCGGTGGACTGAATTCTGTTTTCGCCTTCAAAAAGGTTTTGTAGAATGTCGAGTGGACCACCACCACCTCCGCTCATACTTCCGGCTGTTTGCAGTAGGCAGGGTCCCGAACGCGCGTGGGTGGCAGCTGTTTACCTAACTACGTTAAATTTACCTGTTATTACCTCCCACCTAGTATGTTGCCAGCCAGAATGGCATAGTGCAACTTTAGTGGAATATTCACTGTGTGTACACCAACTCGTAACCCTTCTGTCCATCGCGCGCATTTAGGAAATAAATCTTTTTCTGATTCGCGGGTTCCAATCGGTGCAGTTCTAAGCGCCAGCATTGTCAGACCCCCGTCGAGTAGCCAGCGCCGGAAGGTCGCGCATGACCCGATTTTGTGTCAGTTTCTGACTCACGCGCTGACTTGGTAGATGAGACTGGCCCGGGGCGCGGTGGCGGTTCCCTGCCTCCTATGCCTGTCGGACAACATAACTGGCGCGTCGAGCTCCGACCCGTCCCAACACCCGTCGTGGTATGCCTAACTGAACGTCAGCGCGAATCTCTAGCAACTGAGGCATTCGAAATCGAGAAAAGGAGTACAGTGATCACTCCTCGATCGTGGGGATCGCGTCCTAGAATTCCCCGCGAATAATTAAAATCCGCTAAGTAAAGATAATATGTTTTATGATTATATATATTTGAAATAGGTAGGATTATTTGGGAACAAAATTAACCTTTATTGCGTAAATGTGGCATCTAAGTCGATATGCCGATTGATGCATGCCTCATTTGAGTGCATTGCTTCCAGAAATTCGCCGTCTTTCCTTATTGGACAGGCGCTAACAATACGAGTGTTCTCCCATGCAAATTTGTGTCCACTGTCCAGCGTTTTCTAGCCACCTGGGATAGATGATCTCGTCTCCTCACCGCTAACTGATGCTCGTGTATGCGGGTTAAGAGAGGCTTTCCAGTCTGACTACAATAGATGGCATCACAACTGGCGCGTGGGATCTTTTAGACAACACCCTTCCTATCCAGATAGTCAACCCTGTCCTTAGGGTGTACAAGCTGCATACGCAATGTAGTTGCAGGTTTGTGCGCTACTAGTGTCTGATGTGTTACATTCTCTTTGATCCGTTTGGATTAGGATACTTGACCGCGTGCTCTAGTTGAGTAGCTCCTCAGCCATACCCCAATGGCGTTTCGTATGTTAGATAAAGTGGGCAATCCAACTGAGGAAGCATGTGCCGGAAATAGAAAGGCTCCTTGTCCACAGAAGTCCCCGAACCAGTTAAGTCTGCCGTATGTAATTTAGATGTGCTCGCATGCAAGATCTGCGATAGAGCAATGCTTCAAAAGTCGGAGCTCCATATCACGGGGGATTACTGCATACTTCCTCGTCGTGCCGTCGAACAGCGCCGGGATTCAGTACTTATCTGGGGAAACATCGTCTATCTAGTGTGGAACCATTTGCGTTGGACATCGCCGCACGTGGATTCCGCAGGCGGTCTGACGACTTCGCCCCTTAAAAGTCAGTTATCCCCCCCCCTTTCTGTCTTTGACACCTATTTGGTAAGATGTGGTTATGTAGCCGCATCAGGTGTACACAATACTGTTGACCAAATTAATTATTTTGAGTTGGTGTGATTACATAGACATCGTGTTGCTGGGCGTTGTGGTGTGTGTTCTGTTGGCGGCCTTGTTTGTTGGTTGTCGTGTCTACCTTTTTCGGCCCAATGCCGGTGGTACTTCTTGATTTTCAGCCTGTCGTCTCCTTCTAACTTGCGCGTTGGGTATTTCAGAGTTTGTGTTTAGGGCTGCGGTTAAAGGTTGGGGCCCAGGCTTAGCGGTTAGGACAACCGCACATTTCCAATAGCTTTTCCTTTGCCTACAATTACTTGACCTAGACGCCTGCGCGTTCTCCGGCCCCACCTGCAAAAACTTATTACCACCGGTCGCGTATTACGGACGGCTGGGGTTTTTTTACCACCACCAAACTCACTCCTGCCTTTTCCTACCTACCCCTGCTATTTATCATAAGGCCTCCACATCCTGCACGCATTTTGCCACCGATATTTCGACAAATTGCGGCCCTCCTAAACCCCCTGACCGCCTATTTTTGCACTTCAGAATGATCCAAAATCGGGCAGTTCTGGCTGCCATCGGTGTCCTCATGCTACTCGTGTTCTTAGCCATCATCTACCTCGCCCTCTTCCGTGCTTCTGGCACGCCGCCGTCTCCGCCTTCGACGGTCTCCTCCTCCTCGGCCGCCGCCGCCGCCATCGCACCAACTGGGGTGACCGCCTCCATGTCCAACGTTGCCAAGCCGGAGGCTGCACCTTGACGTGCGGCAGCGGAATCCCCTGGTTCCTCCGCCCCCCTCCTGCACCTCCTAAGTTGTATCCGCCCTCTTTTTCTCCCCGATGTGATGCACACACACGCCCGCACACAACCCGCCAACCCCGTGTACTCTGACTGATCTTATCCCACCCACGCAGAACTGTGATGTCCCCACATAAGTGCGTCCGTGCGTGCATATGCGCATGCGCGCTCGCCAGCACTCCTCGCCTGTCCATACTTGTTTGAGCAACTTGCATATATTCACACCCGTTGATGCTGCCAACACTGGTTCCGTTGTCTTGTCAGCTTTTCTTTCTCTCCATCGTATCTTACCTCCTCCCCCCCTCCTCCGCTGCCCATAATCCGGTCCTCGTCCCCCCCCCCCCCGTCCCATACTGTTTACTAATCACTCGACTGTGTCTGCATTCGATGAAATCGTCTTTGTTTAGCCATGCATACAGTGTTCCTGTATCAGTAACTACCTCGGGTAGGCCCCAGTATCTCCTCCCGTCTGGGGACGGGACAATGCGGTTTGCCTACGACGTGCCTAAACTGATGGGGCGGGGGGGGGTAGGTATCAGAATTCGGATTTTCGTCAACTGCGCACTTGTCCGTTCAAGGCCCTCTGTACTGGGCGCTCCAGACATTCCGCCGCTGAGTTGTAGACTCGCGTTGTTTTGATATGAGTGGAGAATAGTCAAGGTGCCACGGCAGTGGCCCTCACATAATGACGGCTCACTTCGAAGTCTCTGTGTCGGTAACCCCGACTACTTATTGCCTGTCTCGGTGGAGGAGGGTTCTATACTGCAACTCCAAGGCAAGACAGAATCGGCCGTTCGTGACTTTAGGCGCTCCTCGTCACAGTCGACGCAGTCTCACTGGGGGGCGGCCAAGGTGTCCGAGCTCGAGCCTTTGAATCTTTCAAGTGTGAGTTCCGGCTCCAAATTGTCACTGCAGTCCTTACGGGCTTTGTCAGTAAGCGGCTACTGCTAACCAACAGGGCCAAAGACCCTGTCGCAAGGACCGACTGTGGTGCTGTTAAGGGCCATAGGGTGGCACGTTTTTTTATCTTCACGCAGTTCTGTCCTGCCGCTGAAATCCGTTAACGAGCATAGGCACTGCACCAGGCTCAATTTGAGAGCACGATTCGGACCCGTAAGCCTTGCTCTGCGCCTGTAGGCCTTTGTTTAGACACATCTGCTCTAAGTCAGCAGGTAATTTTTGAGGAAATAACAAACAACGATGTTGAAGAAGAAGAAGAAGAAGACACGATCGCTGGGACGAGAGCTATATTAGCCTGACGTTTCGGTTTCCTGCTCGAATCCATCATCAGAGACAAAAGCAGATAAGGGTGGTTCATGCATATGCGGCTGCAGTATTCATAGGATGCAGTCGCCATGTTACTGCATACCTATGAATATTCACGGCTTCCCCCCCCTCTTCATCAGGGATCGTTGCGCGTGGCGTGGTGGCCGACATTCGCGTCGTTAATTGCTGCAATTTCATCAAGTGCGTTGGATGTTGGTGTGATGGTTGCTCGACCATCTGACGCGCTGACCCGGGTGTTGGGAAAAGTGTTCACTTGTGCGCTCCCCGCGTGGCCAATTTCTCCGCCTAGGCGAAGTCTCAGCACCGAGTATCGAATGGGAAGATCGTTGCACTTGTTAATAGACTGGGGACCAGTAAACCATGACTCTAGCAGCTCCCGGCTCACACGGTTGTCAGCTCTTGCGAGAATTTCGGCCCCGTCAAAATTGAATGTGTGGCCGGAACCCGTCGAATGAGCAGCAACTTGAGAGCTGGCGTCATTTCTCTGCAGTGCTGAGCCGTGTTCGGCCATTCGCGTTCGGAACAGTCTTCCGATTTCTTCAACGTACTTGTTTTGACCGCAACTGCGCCATATCCGATAAACAACTCCAGATGTTTCTTGCCGTGGTTGCGGAACTGTCGATTTCGTTACCTGACGCCTGATGGTTGGCTCTGGTCTGTGTGCAACTTCACCACAAAGCGGTGCGAGAAAGCGGCCGACAGCTTCCGAAACGTTCTTGACATATGGAAGCGCTCGCCAAACTTTGGTGTCCGTGCGGTTAGGCCTCTCGTCCCTTTTGCGTATGCACCGGTTGATGAAGTTGCGCGTGTAGCCATTGGCTTTGAAAACTTGGCGGAGGCATTGTAGTTCGGCAATCTTGTCTTCCGGCTCACTGCAGTGTGTTTCGACACGCTGATAGAGCGTCCTTACACAACTGCGTTTGTAGCTGGCTGGGTGGCTGCTGTCGAAGTTCAGTACTTGCATCACATTTGTCGCTTTCCAGAACACTTTGGTCTTTAGTCTACCACAATGCTTGCTGCATACGAGGACATCCAGGAAGGCCAGCTGGTTGTTCTCTTCCTCCTCCATCGTAAATTGTATGTCCGGGAAGACCTCATTCAGACGTTCCTTGAATGTCAGCAGTTGATCCCGGTCGATAACGACGAAGGTATCATCCACATACCGGGCCCAGAATTTCGGTTCAGAACTTGTTCTTCAAGACTGCTTCCTGGGACTCGTCTGTTCGCTTCTATTGGCAAACAACGATGTGTAAACTGGAGTATCTACCAGAATGCATACGAAGAATGCTGGGGGACACGCTGAAGAGCCGAACCCCTCGCAGCTGTGTTAT